TTATTTAGAGGCTATTATATTATTTTTTGTAGCTCATGATTAATGCCATAATATACTTGTTATGACCCATTATTTGTGTTGTGGTAGCATTTTATTAATGTTATGTTTCTAATTAAATTTGACCCGTTTTGCTGTATATATAAAAATTAAATTGCCCAACAATATATAGTTAAATATGTTTATTATTTCATAAGAAAAAACATAACAAGTCTTACAGTTTATAGTCCAAACCAAATATTAAATAAAAACTTCTGCTAATCATATACAAGTGCTAATTAGAAGGATTTATGAGATAGAGGGCAAAGAGAAACAAACTTCTGCTACGCTTAGAAGGTCTTTTGATATCTCAGTTGTTATGTCGACTGATCCAGTGTAGATAAACCTAAGCATCACAATTCAAGTGTGAGTCAATTACATGCAGCTCTCACATGCTCTTCTTGACGCTTCTTATCACTTTCCTTTTGGATGGAAGCAGCTCTCACATGCTTTTATTTATCTGTAGTCATAAATCACAAAACATAATAACAAAGTACATGTCACTTCACTAAGATAAAATCAGAGATTTTGTAGCAAGACAAGCCATCCATCCATATGAGGAGCTCTAATATATAACATATAAACCAAATTAAAGTTAAAACAAGATATATTTGATAAACTGGTAAGACCAATATATGTAAAATAACTTAAATATACCAATATAAAATAACTTAGAGATCAAGCATTGTAATACCTCTACGATGGTATAGGATTCTCATGGGATCCAATATACATGCACTGAAACCAAGAGAAAACATGTGTTAATACAAAGACAAAACATGCTTAAGAATAAGAAATCGTAACTCAATACTTACTTGCAAAAGACAGGTTGCACGAAAGTGAAACTGCAAAATGAAATAGACAGGTTGCTACAACAAAAACCAATTCAAATTGTTAAAGAGGAAATTAAACAAATGCTTCAAATGCAATTCGATTTCCAGACAATACATGCTTAAGAATAAGAAATCGTAACTCAATACTCAGAATACATTAAAAAAACTTAATTTTAAAGCCGAAGGAGACTAACGCAGCAAACTAATCTATTACAATGCCATACATACTTGAACAACAAACTCTCCATCCTTAGCTACCTATCACCTTCCTAATTAGACCATTAAGGCTGTTTTTCACTTTGTCAACTAAAGTTCTCTGGTTATGTTAAGTCACTGAAAGTTAAGCAATACAACTAAAGAAAGCAAATACTGGTTCAATCTTACAACACTAATCAAAAAGCTGAGAACAACACCAAGGCCCTTTTCTAGAGATATTACCATCTTGAACATGGAATTAAAAAAGGCCTAAACGTTTAGCTCATTCTTTCGACTAGAGCTCATTGTATATTTCCTGCAACATAAAGGAAAGTCAAACACAATCCATGAAGAATAATAGGAAGACCACAAAAATATCATAAGATAAACCACAAGAACAAGGAGACTTAAACTACACAAGAATAAGGAGAATAACAGAGAAACCATTGTTACGGGACAAAGAGACAAACTTAGTCTTGCCACATAACTTAAACACATAAACAATTTCTAGACAAGTCAATGTGAGAAAAGAGTGCTTCCGGTGGATTTCAGTAACAAAACCTGTGACGGAGATAAGTCATAAGCCAGGCTTGGCGAATGAAGTAAGAGAAGCCATTGATGGGTCGAAACTTCTTCTTGTGGTGAATTTCCTGAAAATTTAGAGAATTAATGGAAAAAGAGAAAGAGAGACAAATGCGTTTTTTCCTTCTCAATCTATCCACTACATACCAAACACATAAATCACAATTAGAGAAAACCCTAATATCAAGCAAACGAATCAGTACGAATATAGTAGAAACCTCTATCGAGAAGAGCTCGAATCCCTTCGGCGTTTCCATAACTCACTTGCTGATACAGAAATTACCTTTCCAATCTAAGACCTTTGCTTGTAGAATCGAAGCGACACCAAGAGAAGGAGAAGAGTAGCGACGAAGAGCAGGAGGTGTGGAGGAAGGAATCTGGGATTTCAAAGTAGAAGATCTGAGATTGAAGAAGCCGATGAAGACGAGATGAAGGTTGAGTACAAAAGCTTGGAGAAATCAGAACAAAAGCTTGAGGAAGAAGAGAGGATAGGAGGAGCTTCAAAGTCTCGAAGGGATTTAGGGTAAAGAAAGGTCGAGAGAGAAGAAGATGAAACGATTTGGGTTTTGTTTCGAGAAGAAAATAAAAAATAATTTTTTATTATCTGGTCTCGGATTTAGGCG